TCATCTGGAATCGGTTTGCCAAATGAGATGTTGCCAGAACTAACGCAAGGCTGGTTAACGTTTTTCCTAAGCCCATGTCATCAGCAAGTATGGATCCTCGGCTAGTAAATTGGTCTGTTTCGTCAAGTCGTAGTTCAGAAGGGTTACTACATCGTCGTATCCAACTATTGATGGGGTGGTTCCACAAGTCTTCAATTGTGTTTTGTTGGGTAGACTCGTTTCTCTTGAGGAAATTTAGAGCTGTGTATTGGTGGTCTTTCAAGGTGGTTACACAGTTTTTGAGAGTAGACCGAAAAGAATCATCCTCTTCTGGCGTGCTGGTGAGGGTTGGTGTAAACGATGTTTGGGGGATATTGAAAAAGAGGCTGGGATCGTAGTTCCAGATGGGAGAGAGATTGATTTGTGCCCGAGAGAAAGCTGATGAAATAGTGGCCTTGTTTGAGTCAAGACCAAATATGCATCCCCTCAGTTGAGGATCATTACAGGTTTTGGTAACAAGGAAAGCTCGAATCTTTATCAGGGATTTTTCAGAAGAGATCGTTCCTTCTTCTGTTATTGGTGTTGAGCAGCTGCCCACCCGACCTAACAATGGACCAAGGAACTTGCTTTGAACTTCACTGAGATCTCCAACCAATCGTCTTGGGTAACACCACACATGCACTCGATCTGTTCCTCGTTGTAGGAAGGCCTGTTGTGGGTGATCAGGGAGGGAATCTGAGGTAGGAGAATGTAGACGTTGTGGAACTCCTATCGTGCCAGGCGGTAGGCAGTTGGTTGAAGGGATGGTGCTTTGAGGGCTGCCTTCAAGTGGGTCCGGATGAGTGAGCTGTGATCTGAACAAAAAAAGCGTTGGGGTTGGCTGGTTTTCTGAGAGGAGACAACAGAAATCGATTTCTGTGGCGGTTGTTGAGTTTGAGTGAACTTGAGGATATGTAGGTGGATCAGAAGTATCAAGAATGAAAGGATCAATAAAATTTGATGGGTCTATCTTGGATCAGAACAGAATGCCATGCTTCCCCATCATCTCAGTTCAAACTGAACTTTGACTCTGGGGAGTGACATGTCACAGACATGTCATCACATCCCTACCTACAACACAACTCAACCAAAAAAGAAAAACAAGACCACACTACACAACACTACACAACACTACACAACACAACACAACACAACACAACAAGACAGAACAAAACAAAACAAAACAAAACAAAACAAAACAAAACAAAACAAAACAAAATAATCAAGAGTGAAATAAACCAACATCCTGAGATGTCTTAGGACCAAGAAAATTAAACAAGACTGTCTTCTGAGTAGGTGATTTGAAAAAGATAATAAAGAATGATAAAATGATAAAATAGAAATAAAATCAAGATGAATGAAAAATAATATGAAGAGTAAATAATAAGAGGAAATGGAATAAAATAATAAAATGAGGAAACAATTGGACTGAGTGGGGATTGAGGTGATAATATTGAAATCTTGAGTCTTGAGGATATTGAAGAGTTGAAATTTGAATTCTGAAATTGGACCTTGAGGGGGCCTGTACCGTTTAGAACACCACATCTCCTCACCACTTGCAGTCTGTCCCTAGACTGCTCTTCTCTTCTCCTACGCTTGAAGCCTAAAATAAAACCTAAAAAAACCAAACAAACCAAGGGCCCATCCAGGTGCTCACAAATGTGGCATAAAGTAGAGTTTTTTACAATGTGGTAGTAGATACCCTGGTGATGCATACATTGGGAGGACTTACTTTTGGTCAACTTTGCCTCCACGGGGAAAAACCTCTATCATCCATCCTTCTTCCTCATCAAAATGTAACAAACCTAGTTCACCCTCATTGCAGAGATCATTTTCAACTTGTCCGGAAGCTTGCACACCATCAGATGACACAGGATTGGGATATTCAATATTGGAGGATTTGGACGTTTGTTTAGTCTCATTGTGGAGCGGATTGGGGATCGGAACTGATGCTGGTTTATCCTCATTGCGGAGCCGGATCGGAGAAGAAGAAGAAAGGGGATCTACGGAGTTGGATAAAGGCTGGGAGGATTGAGATTGATGAACTTCAGGAGTGATGGAAGATTTGGGAACACCAGAGGGATGAGATTGATAATTATGGGATAAGGAAGACATATGGTTGTCGGGATCAGATGAGGCTTGAGAGGAGAAGACAGATTCCTGGACTTGAGAATTTAATGTGGCCTCTTTGTGGAGGCGGATGGAGGAGGAAACCAAACGCTCGGCAGTCGGGCGGAGCTGGCCAATAGGATCAACATTGGGAACGGAACGCAGAGAAGGATCAGAAGATAGTTTAACCTCATTTCGGAGGGCGATCGGGAAGGAAACCAAACACTCGTCATTTGGGCGGAGCTGGCCAATAGGATCAAGATCGGGAACGGAACACAGAGAAGGATCAGAAGATAGTTTAACCTCATCTCGGAGGTCGATCGAGGAGGAAACCAAACGCTCAGAAGTTGGGCAGAGCTGGCCAATAGGATCAACATTGGGAATGGAACGCAGAGATGGATCGGAAGATAGTTCAACCTCATCTCGGAGGTCGATCGGGAAGGAAACCAAACACTCTTCAGTCGGGCGGAGCAAGCACTCTTCAGTCGGGCGGAGCTGGCCAATAGGATCAAGATCGGGAACAGAACGCAGAGAAGGATCAGAAGATAGTTTAACCTCATTTCGGAGGGCGATCGGGAAGGAAACCAAACACTCGTCATTTGGGCGGAGCTGGCCAATAGGATCAAGATCGGGAACGGAACACAGAGAAGGATCAGAAGATAGTTTAACCTCATTTCGGAGGGCAATTGAGGAGGAAACCAAACGCTCAGAAGTCGGGCGGGGCTGGCCAATAGGATCAAGATCGGGAATGGAAAGCTGAGAATGATCAGAAGATAGTTTAACCTCATCTCGGAGGGCGATCGAGGAGGAAACCAAACGCTCAGAAGTCGGGCAGAGCTGGCCAATAGGATCAACATTGGGAATGGAACGCAGAGATGGATCGGAAGATAGTTTAACCTCATCTCGGAGGGTCTCGGATGAAGTCGGATCTGGTACACCTGGGGAATCGAGGGCAGAAGGTTGTCCATTGCTCACGAGTGTGGCACGAGATAGAGGTTTGAATATTTTGGTGGCATCAAGCCCTGGAGGTGCATATTGGAGAGAACTTACTTTAACTCCTTTATGCCTCCGCGGAATCACTTTTCTTGCCTTTGTCCTTCTAGGAATTTGACTCTTGGGAAGATGAATGTTGTCCAAGGAGGAAGCGGAGAAACCTGGAACCATCAGATTGATAATCTTCTTCAGGACAGAGTTTGCCTCCTTGACAAACTTGGCCGAACACTTTGGAGAGGGTGGATCAGAGGACAAGACTTTGGGTTGAGAAGAATCGATGTTGGGTGATTTGCGGATCAAGTGACAATGATAAGATTCAGAAACTGGTGGAGCTGTGCAGGGAATTGGCTTGGTTGTTGGATACCATGGCTGAAGAGCGCCACAACTGATCCGATACGGCGCAGGAAATGGAGGAGCAGAACGACTTGAAGCTTGAAATGCCGTCACAACACTGCGGATAGGTCGGACGGGGTCGAAAGGGATCCAGGCACCGCTGGGAAGGAAATAATTGTGCCCCTTCTGATCAACAAGGCGTTTCTCTTTGTCCTTCTGGAGTGCATGACAGTGGGCCGTCCCGTGGCCTTTACAATGACAATAATAACAGATCAGTGGTCGACGAACTGTGGCGGCTGAGGCAGAGGCAGAAGAAAGATTTTCCAAGATGTCTGTAGAAAGATGATTGTTGATCGGGGAAGAACCGGACTTAAGTGCAAGGATCGGTCTAGCAGCGGTGACTTCAGCAGGGCTTGGATCTTCAGTTGATTGCTCAAACAACTCGGGATTGTCGTCCATGTCTTCTTGATCTGAATCAGGAACTGGAAGTGTAGAATCTTTGACCGAAGGAAGCAAAACAGAGAGCACTGCGGATGACTTGAGGTTTTCACACTGCCTTTGGGAGGGATTGGATTTGTTGATTCTAGAAGCCGATGGGTATTCAATGACAGAGGCAGCCGTAAAATCCAAACTGGCCTTTGTGGGATGCCAAGCAGGTTCTCTCGTCTTAATCGATTCATTACGGTCCTGTTTGCTAGATTTATCAAAAAGCTCCGGCCCAACATCCAGATCTACAAAATCCAAATCAGATTCTAACACCTCCTCAACTAGTAAATCATTATGAGAACCCAATGGGAGGCCGCGCTCAAGATTCCGGGGATTTTCCTCTTCCAGCGATCGATCAGAAGGCTCGGGATCAGGCAAACTAAACTTGGCGGTATCGACGTTTCCCCAGTAAGCTATCATAGAAGCCTTCAACTTAGGCCAGTCCGGCGGCTCGTATCCTTCCAAAGTCTCGACGACATCCAACAGCTTGTCCTTCGCGATGAAAAATCCTAGCTGTTGAGCCATATCCTTCTCCGACGCTCCATCCAAACGCGCAGCTAGTTGATATTCAGAAAGAAAACGCTTGATGTTGCTCCCATTAAACGCTAGATCCTCATTCTGAGGCTTGATCTTGACCATAGCAGCTTCTCCTTCGTTGTCGGCCATTCTGTCTTGATTGATTGAACTTTCTATCTCTCCTGTGCCCCACGAGTAATAAAAAAAGAACAGAAATCCAACGATCTTGATCCAAAAACTAGGATGTGTCCTAAACCCCTTCAGTCCAATGTCAACTTTGAGGCGGAATAACTTTTGAAAGAGAAGTCCGATCGACGTGATTGCGGGCTCAAATGAAAGCTATGATCGAGGGCTATAACTTTGTCTGCGATCACGATGCTCAAAAACGGATTGGTCGCGAGATATTCGACGTCAAAGATAAGAGTAAAGAGATTGGGGATGTCAAGTTTGAGGTGGGATAACTTTGGAATGCGTGGTCGGATTTTGCTAATTTCTAGATCAAACGAAAGCCACGAAACGTCTCTATAACTTTGTCTGCGACCACGATGCTCAAAAACGGATTCGTCGCGAGATATTTGACGTCAAGGATAGGAATAAAGAGATTGGGAATGTCAAGTTCGAGGTGGGATAACTTTGGAATTCGTGGTCGGATTTTGCTAATTTTTGGATCAAACGAAAGCCACGAAACGTCTCTATAACTTTGTCTGCGACGGCGTAGAGCGATCCCCAACGGTTTGCGATATGTAGACGATCAAAGATAATCCAAGAAAACGTCGAGTGCCAACTTCCAAGGGCGATAACTTTTGAACCGTTCGTCGGATTTTGCTAATTTCTGGATCAAACGAAAGCCACAATTTGTCTCTATAACTTTGTCCGCGACTACGTAGAGCGATTCCCAACGGTTTGCGATATGTAGACGATCGAAGATAATTCAAGAAAAAGTCGAGTTCCAACTTCCAAGGACGATATCTTTTGAACCGTTCGTCCGATTTGGCTAATTTTTGGATCAAAAGAAAGCTACGAATCCGAACAACAACTTTGCCCGCGACACCTTTCCACGAAAACGAACAGCGCGCGAGATATAAGCGATCAAAGTTATCAGCCAAAAGCGAACCTAAAAAAACGTCCTGAAACCAGAGCTAGAGATCCTGAAACGAGGCTAGAGGTCCTGAAAAGAGGCTAGAGATCCTGAAAAGAAAGCCAGAGACTAGAAATCCTCAAAGGTAGAGCACCTGTCGCCTGAAAGAAGACCAAGTAAGACGAGACTGTAAATCTTGAGGTCGCTGGTTCGATCCCGGCTCGGGGGACCAAATGTGGAACTCCTATCGTGCCAGGCGGTAGGCAGTTGGTTGAAGGGATGGTGCTTTGAGGGCTGCCTTCAAGTGGGTCCGGATGAGTGAGCTGTGATCTGAACAAAAAAAGCGTTGGGGTTGGCTGGTTTTCTGAGAGGAGACAACAGAAATCGATTTCTGTGGCGGTTGTTGAGTTTGAGTGAACTTGAGGATATGTAGGTGGATCAGAAGTATCAAGAATGAAAGGATCAATAAAATTTGATGGGTCTATCTTGGATCAGAACAGAATGCCATGCTTCCCCATCATCTCAGTTCAAACTGAACTTTGACTCTGGGGAGTGACATGTCACAGACATGTCATCACATCCCTACCTACAACACAACTCAACCAAAAAAGAAAAACAAGACCACACTACACAACACTACACAACACTACACAACACAACACAACACAACACAACAAGACAGAACAAAACAAAACAAAACAAAACAAAACAAAACAAAACAAAACAAAACAAAATAATCAAGAGTGAAATAAACCAACATCCTGAGATGTCTTAGGACCAAGAAAATTAAACAAGACTGTCTTCTGAGTAGGTGATTTGAAAAAGATAATAAAGAATGATAAAATGATAAAATAGAAATAAAATCAAGATGAATGAAAAATAATATGAAGAGTAAATAATAAGAGGAAATGGAATAAAATAATAAAATGAGGAAACAATTGGACTGAGTGGGGATTGAGGTGATAATATTGAAATCTTGAGTCTTGAGGATATTGAAGAGTTGAAATTTGAATTCTGAAATTGGACCTTGAGGGGGCCTGTACCGTTTAGAACACCACAACGTGTGACAAATTGACCCAGGCATAGTGTGTTTGACATGTTGGATAGAAAAATCAGTAGACCGATTTGAGGTTGTGAAGGATGTGGGGGTTGGAATAAGGATGGGATGGTTGTATTTGTTACCTTTCTCTTATCTAGAATTTGGAAAGTTTTTCGGAAACACCCTTTACAACAACTCACAAAACACAGCCTTTGGTGCTTATTTTAACTCACTCACATTTGCTGCAGGGCATTGCATGATATAGTCATGTAAGCTGGAAAGTTCGGTAAACAAACTCCAGCACCTGTTGGATTGGTTTGGCCAATCGGCCAACTGCTACATTTGGTCCACAGATCAATCCAATGGAATGAGTTCATCATTTGGCTTTCAATTATCATACTCTTTAGTATATAGACATTACCAAAAGGTTAGGAGGTCTGGTAGCCACTAACTATGAAGGTTGTGTGTACATGACAATCACATGATATAGGCATTGGCGAGGGCTGGTTTAACTCACAAGCTTTCTCATATCTAGTGGGCTCTTGAAAAAAAAAATTCAGAGTATCTTACCGAGATAGTGCCTCACAACCAGGTGGGAAATCATATCGGTCAAGATACTGCAAGCTTGGTCAAAGCTTGGGATAAAGCACTGTTTGCTGTCAAGTTGAACTTGGTTTCAGCATAGGTCTGGGGTACATTCTACACATGTATTCTATGATATATCCAATAGAAGTTGTGGTACACATCAACATGTCTTGTAACCAGGTTGTGGTACATATCTTCCGTACATATCAACATGTGTTGTAACAAGCTTCCAACCAGATCTATGACCGAGTTCACTGATGGCACTTGAAAGCAGGTGCTGAGCAAACTCCCCTGGTGCCCCATCCTTCACTGGGGATTTGAAAAATGGACAAGATGTGTCAGCTGCGTTTTAAATGCTCTTGATATGTGGTGTAGAGCGGCAAAATAACGCACTTGAAAATTACCCAAGTGACGATTGATGGAAAATTTAAATGACTCGAGACCATCAGCTTCAGCTGTCGTGCAAACTCGGTCTGCTGATCGGGGGTTGGATCTGGCAAATCTGGATTCATTGACGGCATATCCTGATACACGCACAAGAGCAGAACATCGTCAGCCGAAGCGAAGGCCAGAAATCTGGTAGCTTCAGCTTACTTGCCATACCAACAAACCGATTCGATCACAGGCATAATAAAAGAGATCCGGCTCAATTTTTATGTGTTTTCTAAGCATGTTGAAGCCTAGAAGCTTCAAAACCTTCAGATCATAGGTCATAGCTTCAAACGTTGGAGCGGTGTAAAGACCTATCGCGGAACAAAATAAAAAAACATGATCAACAAATGATTTTGAGCCAGTCGAATGACAAGCGTGCTAACCGTCGGGCCAAAAGCCCTGATCCAGCGTGCCCAGTTGAAAGACAAATTTTCCATTTAGGAAAGGTCGCAAGATTCCCCTGTCGTCTGCTCTCTTCTCTATCGTCCGGAAACCTAGATAACTTTGAACGGTATCTTGTCCTAATTCGACTTCAAAGTGATAGAGATATGGGTTGCTGGGGGACCAAAGCTGAGCATAAGGCACGGTAAAAGTGACAAAGGTGTTGGCAGTTCCTTGATGTTGCTGAAGAGGGGGGCCCAGAGAGCACGGATAGAGCGGCGAATCCGAAGAAGAGATGGTTGGGTTGAATAACGTGATCTTCAATGGTGTGTTGAAAGCGCTGTTTGAAGTGGAAACCTTTGTTTTGACTAAGAAGATTCGATGTGTGAGGGGAGCTATTCCTAAGAGACAGTTTGCAATAATTTACTCACCACTTCCATCCGCATGAGCGGTGGTAACAATGTCCAGAATGTGTTCCTTGGGAACTGGTTCAAGAAAGACCGTTTGCCAGATCCCACTGCTAGGAGTATAAAAGTAGTGACTGGGATCCAAAACCTGCTTGCCGGCTATCGGAAGAGCCGAAAATGAGTGTCAGTTCAACTGCTCATTAAAGTAGACGAGACATGGAACAAGGGACGCATGTATAACGAAATGGCTGTAGTTGCCTCGATTAAGCAAATGAAGCTTACTGGGGATTAACGTGCCGTTGGAATTTGTGGGGTCATAGACAAACACCAACAGTTCATTCTCTGGACCCGGTTCTTTGAGCGCGTCAGTCAAATCCAAGGCAAATTTGAAATATCCTCCTCTGTGAAACCCAGCGGTTTTTCCGTTGACAAATACCGTGGCTGCACAGATGGTAGGTTTGCAAGCGGTGGTAAGTGAAGATCAGTGACAAGAAATTGTACAGAAAGCGCGTCTTTGAATTACCTTCATAATCCACTGCTCCAAAGTTCACCAAAACATTGCTACACGACCAGCCCTCAGGAACAACAAATGTCTTACGATACCAGCTATACATGCTGTTCTTCATGATGCCACTGAGCCCACTTTCCATCGGGAAAGGCACCAGGATTTCGCTGACAAACCCGCATCCCCCGAAAGGCGGACTGTGGATTTCTTGAGAGTCCTTGGCCGGGTTGAATTGCCATGGACCGTTAAGGTTCATCCAATTCTCCCTTCTGAGTAATGGGCGAGGGTATTCGGGCCATGGCGATATACCCACCTTTGCCGTCCAGTCAGTGGTAAGTGGTGGAGTTTTGAGCTGATACGGCTTGGGTGCCGGACAGTCCGAAACTGCAGTCGCAATACCAGAACCAAGAAAAGAGAGCATAGTCAAGCCATATAAGAAAATTGAAAGAGTCGCCATTTTTGTATTCGGATATACAAATGGTAGAAGGGTGAAGCCTGCCGGCAGGAATGAATCCCACAAAATAAAGATAAAAAACGGTTTTGATTTGCGGAGTTGGTGGGTATAGGAGGACTAGGAGGGGCCTTAATGTGTTGGACGGACGGTTCAGAAAAGTGCTTAGGACCACCTGGGTGCACCAGAGCCTGATTGGATCACAAACTCTTTGAGTAAAAGTGATGTTGCGTAGCGAGATGGACAATGCAAGGTAACTTTGACTGCATACCTTATATACGTGTGTGCAGATAAAATTCTCAGCTAGACAGATAACAGCGCTTGTACTAGAGCAGTCTCGGCGTACCCAGCTGCCGAGTGTCTTGGATGTGAACAGGAAGCTGCTTTTGACTCATCCAAAACCCAAAAGAGGTCTATAGACAATTCGCCGGTGGGTCAAGGTTGCTGTAAGGGTTGTCTCTGCAACAGAACATCCAGGCTTGTTTGAGTTTCATCAACGCTTCACGGTCTGCAACTCATGCGAAATGGGTTCGAAACAATGGGTGTGTTCTTAAGCAGCATCAGCAAGTTGAGGCCGGATAACCTTTTTTCACTTGCCTTCTTGTGACTCATGTGCTCGAGCTAAATGCTACGTGAGGTTCCAGACGCGGGCTTTCCCTAATTGCCCGAGGCAACGGCGTGAAGAGTTGGAAACGCTGAGTCCGACTTAGACTCAGAGCATACAGATCACGTAGCTAGCGCCAAGTCGCGCCAATCATGCCGGCGACTAGCCAAAACGGAAGGTCCTATGTTGGCGATCAGATATTAATAAAGTCCCGCTGGACGAGGTCTTAAAAGCCGCTTCGCCAGCAGAGACTTGAAGGAACAAAAAAGAAAGTCTGTGTTTCCAACTATGTCCAAAAAGAATCTGGGTAGAAGGTTCTGAACCCTTGTCAGGCCTACAGGCTACATACATACCTTTCCAATGAAATAATTTAGGTGGTGGTGTTTTTTTTTCTTTCTTCTCATCATTTCCCCATGTATTGAGGAAAAAGAAAGGCTAATAAGGAAAGACTTAACTCTCAATTTTTCCATCAACCTAACTCTATCTTTGTGGATATTGGGACAGTCACAAACCAAATAATTCCAAAAATGACGCTATTAGGCCGGTTCACGTCTAAAGTTCAAGGCAACTTTTAGCACTTTTATGGATAAAATTTTATGAATTTTGTCAAATCTCATGAATCATCAGGTTTGGAGGAATTTGAGATTTTCGACAAACTTGGAAAATTTTAATGATAAATGCTATAAAACTTGCTCCAAAGTTCAGACGTGAACCGTCCTATTGCTACAATTGCCAAGATTCAGCATTGACTTCAGGGTGGTCCGGGTGAGGCCACTATGCCATGAGAATTCTATCAACATTCAAGTGTTATCAGATATTTACAAATTTGAGCTGGTAGCAGTGACTTGGAATTTTGTTGTAGTGTTGGATAGAAAGTTGCATGACGAGAATTGATAGCCACAGGTTTGTATTTGATTGATTGGCTGTCATGGTTTATCGAAGAAAAGTTTAGGTGGTAGGACTCAAAGTTGTCAAAACAATATATAGTTACTCAAAATGATGTGTTGTTTTGGCAGTTAAAATCCCATGAGTGTGCCATAAAATGATGTCTATCTATCTAGTGGGAACCACAAATTCTTTGCCAAGTGACCCTCCTTCCGAATCCAAACCATTACAAAAATCCAGTGGGCAAGAGCGGAGTAAATGATTTTGGTGCAACAACACAATCAATGTTTATTGGCCGAAAGTTATTTGTTATTTGACCGACGGTTAATGTTTATGGGCCTACAGCTATTGTTTATTGGCAGACAGTTATTATTTATTGGCCGACCTTTATTAAGCGGTGTGTGTGTTCTTGACTGTGTTTAAACTCGACAGTGTAAGCTGATCTCAGGCATTGGTAGATGAGGTGTTTTTTTTTTGGTTATAAATAGGGTATATGAATTTGATGATTAGGAGAAAGACACAAACAACTAGATCGAAAGAGGCACAAACTAGCTTTCCGACCACTTCTTCACAAGACGCAACAAGAGCAACAGAGAACAACGACAAACAAACGGCTCGAAACAAACAAACAAAAACAAATTTTAAGATGAAGATCAGGTGATCCGAGAAGGGAGGAAGAAGGTGATTAGAGTACCCGAGGACCATAGAGGGCGACGTTCCACTTCTTGGGCGGTGCGACCTTTCGCATGGCCAGGCCAGAGACAACACCGACATCGAGAGTGAAGAGTTTCGTGAATGCGGCCTTGCTCAAGTCGGCGTGAGCGCGTTCGGGTGCGCATCCGCCACAAAGGTCAACAACTGATGAACACAAACAAACGAGGGAACTGTTTGGTCAGTGGTTGTGCTAGTTTCGGAAAAAAAAACGCTTCTACACACCTCGGGCAATGACCGACTTCCCGACTTGACCGGCATGCTTGTCAACAACGGTGATCTCAAAGAAGTCGCCGCACTTCGGTCTCTGCTTCCATTCTTGGGTAACAGCGATGATCAACGAGCTGTCGGTTGGAGTCCATCCGGCTGGGGATTCGCAAAGAAATCGAGTCAGATTACAGTGTGAAGCGCATACAGTTAGAGACTTCCACCTTACATTTTTGTGCGCAATACGGGTTCAATAAGTCGTGGCCGGTATACCAAGTGATTTTGGCTGTGAGGGAAGAGAAGTGAAAGGTTTAACAGATGTTCGCAAATGTATCTTTCCGAAAACAAGAACAGATAAAACTCACTTTGAATGATTGCACCCTTGGCGACATCTAATTGAGGATGGGTTGGGTTTAAGAGCGTCTGCAAGCCCTTGGATTTAGACAGAGCTTTGGGGTTATATTTGGGGAGTTTGACATTTTGCTTCTTTGATGACCGCTTGATTTGGGTGAATCGCTTGATGGTTCTGTTGGGATTGTATGGTGAAAGGGTGAGGGGCTTGGCCAAGAGAGGTGAGGCTTCGATTCGGACTGCATCCTTTCCTTGAGAGTTTCTGGTTATATGGACTAGTCCGCTGCGTGTGACCACGTCGCGGGAAGACGCGTCTTGCAACGGTGCATTCTTGAGGTCCGTTACCAGTTCGGCGTCCCAATCGAGGAAATCATCCTGGCTACTCGTCAAGCCGCTCAAAGCTGAAGAGAAGAGTGAGATGTCGGCGTCTCTTCGGGAGATGACCGGGACTCCGTTGACGTGTTTGGGGCCGGTTTGGTAGTGAGTGAGCATGAGGCCATGGCTGGGGAGTATCATCCAGTCTTCGGAGTGAACGGGCAATTGCTTCTTGCTGAGTTTGTGAGCTGAGGTTTTACCCGAGCAGCAAACAGCGGGGATAAGGATTAATAGAGACGCGAGAGACGCGAAGGTCGATTTGGTTTCTCCGTGGTTGAAAGTTTTCATGATGTCTTGAGATTTTCTGGAGGATTTTGCAGGGTGGGGGGTATGATATGATTATGAAAGAATTGAGATATGGAAGGATCGATGGAAGGAGTTCTGTTCAAGGAGAGATCAACAGATGTGATAATCAAGCTGGCTGGTGCGAATGAGAGAGAATGTGATTGCTTCAGAAGATGTTGGGAGTAAGATGGTGATGAGGATAAGAAAGAAATGTTGTTTTCGACCGTCCTTTTATACCTTTTGGCGCCCTGCTACTACCCAGCCAGAAGGAGCCGAGTGGTGGTGCCCAGGCTCCGATTCAGTACACTGTGTCGGCTTCTCCAACAGGTCAAGGGACCTGGGAAGGCCAAAAGCATCAGGGGGCGAAGGCTGGTTGTTCCTCGATGTGACTGAACACGGCGCAAGTCGGAACTAAAATCTCTCTGGACTTTCTGTTACAAATCTGCTGATGTCGCTCATCTGTTGGAGCAATTGTTTATTGTAAAGAATGCCTGCGTGACTTGCTGCCCAGGCAGTCAGTGCGCTTCAATTTGTACCTCTCCGATGGTTCCTGAGTAGATACAATCCGGAGTTCATGCCGAGACGGCATTGAGTATCCAGTCCCGACCCGAACATGATGATGATGATGTGCATACATCGACCTAGTGGTGGTATTTGCATACACAGACTTGTACACGAGGAAGAGTGCTACACCAGCAGCCAGGTGTCTGCTACTAGAAAGCTGCCTGTAACTTTGTCAAGCACCTTTTTACCCGAGCTCCTTGATCACTTCGACCACCCGCCCGGCCTGTTACTGAACTCGGCCGTACCTGCACATTAGTTTGCAAGAGCATCCGACATGGAAAAGCAGCCAAGGTCCGGCAAAGTGAATGTTCTGATCGGTACCTCGGGCAGTGTGGCAACGATCAAGCTTCCGCTGATAGTCCAAGAACTTTCTCAGGTCAGATTTCAATCTCTTTCCCTCGTCTCGGTTTTCAATCCGCGGCTTGGCCCGATGAGTGTATGCGCACTAATCTGTGTTGACCGTGTCGGTTTTTTGAAATTCACCAGCATGAGATGTTGGAGGTGCAGGTAGTCACAACCTCATCGGCGCTTCACTTCTTTAAACCCAGTCAGCTCGTTAATGCTCGGGGTGAACCGATCAAGGTCTGGACTGATGATCAGGAGTGGCAGGTGTGTACATCGTTTCTTGAGGAACAGATTGAAAAAACCTTTGTTCTTGTGGTATACTTGAAGAAAGTTATAAAATCGAACGATCTCAAAAGTTATAATGATCCCCCTCTTCTTTCATACCTCATCGCCTTGCAGAGCTGGAGTAAAATTTCGGACCCGATTGTTCATATCGAGGTTGGTTGGAATCCCTGAGAATATGTTTCATTTGATCTAATATGACTCAGAAGCGAGAGAATGAGAAACGATATGAATTGACGGCTTTGCTTGCGTTCGATTTATCTGTTTGATAGCTAAGAAGATGGGCAGATGTCATCCTAGTTTGCCCATGTTCAGCAAACACTTTAGCCAAGATTTCCAACGGGATTTGTGATAACTTATTGGTAAGTCGATACCCTGCTCACAGATCTCTGTGCGTCTCTATGAAGCACACCAATCGAATTCGAGCATAAAATTGATGTGCTCAAAAAAACGGATTGCTGAATTTGATAAAGACCAGTTTGATAAGAGCAACTAATCCGAAAGACACACCAGTCATCCTATTTCCGTCGATGAACACGCTGATGTATGACCACCCATTAACCCGGAAACAAATCAAGACGATAGTCGAAGAGATTGGCATTGAGGTCAACGGCCCCATCTCAAAAACGCTGGCTTGTGGAGATATAGGTGAAATTCATCTGGGTTGACATACCTCCCATCTTGAATCTTCCTGACCAATCTTCATATTTGTTCGTTGATTATTTTCGTCGTCATCGATCGGTCAGGTCTTGGTGCTATGACCGAATGGAAAGATATCGTCGATTTGGTAGTCACTCGATTCGTGCCTGACTCCAGCAAGGAACCAGCAGTTTAATAATCATCACGTGGAGAAGAAGTATCATGTTCCATTCGAAGATCTAATTTCTATTTGCTTGGTCGAACATCTGAGCTTTGAATCGGCTTGTTGTTTAGATTATTGTTTTGCATTTCCCAAAGACTGTTAATTGCTTCACCAGGGGTCGAAGTTTCGGCTGTATGTTACTTAGTTGACACCTCATGAAATCTGATTGAGGATTGTGAAGGTCCAAGGTCATGAGGATCGATTCCACTAGTGTGGGCGCTGGGATGAAGAATGGTTCTTTGAAGAGAACATACCAAAAATTAATTATGGACACAAGCTAAAACTTTCAAATCAGAGTTTGAGAGGGAAAGCACTCAATCAAGCTCAAGATTACAGCCAATCCGGATTCCTACACTTGAATGCTTCTGCATCTTGAAGATTTCCACCAAACACAATTCCGTGTGGGGTGGTGGGTTGAAAGTGTTGCCGTTGGTGGGTGAGTTCAGTGATACATGACGACTCATATTTTTCATGTGTAGATGTTGCAGATGTTGATGATAATATGTGTTCAAGAAAAGTATTGCATGTTACATAGTGGATATCACCCTTGATTTAACCAGAAATTGTTAACATCAACTGTTTGTTCTCCTATTGATTGACAATGCCAATGATATGTATCTACACGTGAGAGATATTCTTTTAAATCCAATTTGTGATTTGTGAGAGAAGAAGAGAAAGATGACAGGAGATGATCAGAGGAGTTGTCCTGCCACTTTGTGTTTTGGCTCCTGAGCCGAGTGTTACCCTGATGATACTCACTCTTTGTGGCCTTCTTTGGCACCTTGTTCTGTTTGGTAACTTGCCCAAGGAAGATTGTGTATTAGTTGAATCCATGTCAACGTTTGTTTCTCTTCCTAGTCGCACATTTCAATTTAGGCATTGTTGGACATATTGTGAGCCAGGAGCACTGTTAGTCTCTTCCCCACTCCAGATCTTTGATTGATGGTCTGTCCATTCATCTTGTTCGTATGTAAATTCTGAAGAAACCCCTGTGGTTCATTCATCTGAAAAGATTGGCAAATGTTCAAGGTTTATGTTTATCATGATTACGATGATGTCAAACTGAGTAGACCAAGCTCATAAAATCTACAACAACAAAAAAGAATTAGTTACAAGGCGTCGAATGGGCAGAGGAAGATAGCTATGGACACAAGATGAAAGAAGGAGAATGCGGTGTATGATAAGAGTTGCAGACAAGGATTTTTTTTAAAAAAAAAAAAAAAAAAAACAAGAGACGAAAGAACATGGGTACACATACTGGTGAAGTAGAAAAAAGCCCAGGAAGGATTTGGAATTGAGTAGATGCGGAATGAGTTGTAAAGACATGCATGCAAACTTGATAGAAAGAGAAAGAGAAAGAGGATCATCTTAGACAGAGTGGCTGAAAGGTGAGTTGATTAGATGTTTGAGGATGCAGATGATGGGCGTGGTTTGCAGTAGAGGACGAGGAGGCAAGGTGAGCCAATTGGAGGCCGAGGCCGTCGACCTTGCGTCTTCCGAGATAAGTGGTTGCCGTTCCGGGGAACGAGTGGCTGGCGGTTCTCGAGGTCTGAGGGTATTCGATGGGCATCTGTTTGAGAGGGTCAGGGAGGATCGGCACTCCGTCCGAATCGACCTCGCCATCTGCAAGTTGGCGTTCCCATTCTCGCTCCAAGGCCTCATGAGCCGATGACGAAGAAGACTCTGATGAGGGGCGTTGGAAAAGATGATGTTCTCGAAAGAGCTCGGCCGAGCAGGGTCGTGCTGAGGATGAGCTGGAAAGGATGTTATCCCTCTGGCGCCCGGCGAGCCAACGGTCTGATGAGGAGCGGGACGAATAGATTCTGTTGGGTGTTGGAATGCTGGTTGCAGAGAATGGGACGATGGGACAGGCATTCGGAATGGCCCGTGGGGGGATTCGTGGTGCGGCACGGCGTGTGCTGAGCATGTTGCGTTCTTCGAGCAAGGCTTCCGTCTCCGGTCTACGAATCAATCCGACCGCACCCGCCCGTAGCTGTTGTCGCTCGATGTCTGCTTGGAGGCTGGCGATCCGACTCGACAGTGATCGTTCGAGGGCCGCTCGTTGGGTCGGCGTCCGAGCTGGGGTGCCAATGGGTGCTGGTGATGGAACTAGGGAGGCGATCGATAAACGAGCTCGTTCATCGTGCAATCGAATCTACAAAACGTTTCATAATTGTGTATGTAATGTAAATATCTTGAGCATGATGAACGCCGATATATACAGAAACTACAAGATGCTGTGGTAATATATCATCTTCCTGCGAGCGCAAGTCAGTGGATTAAGAATGCTCAACTTGTTCTCTCAATAAGCTTATAGTCCTCTCGGCTGCTCTTAGGGTATCTCTGTGGACTTCCATCAACTGCGGACGTAGGCAGAAGCATATCCAAGTCAGATGAAGATCAACGCAGGACAAATCAGAAAAAGGTGATGGTTCAGGTACTGACATTTCGTTGAGCTTCCCGGTCTCTACGGCGGGGTTCTGGGTTATTGGTCGAAGCTTGAGAGGAGGTTGGCTCAGACTGGATCCTAATGTTGGGGCTGTTGTTGGTGGCCATACTGATTGGGGTAGGTGGATCCAATGGTAAGAAACGACGACGGGTAAGGAGTGCAGCAGAGCCGTTTGAGGGTGTGTTGGTTTCGTTTTGGTTTTCAGAGGATGATGGTCGGATTGCGGAAGCAGATGGGTTCATGTTAGTTTTGTGTGTGTGTGTGTTGTGAGAGTGTTCTGCAGTTGGGGCTTGTCAAGGCCAAGATAAAGGGGGGAAGACTGGGAGGAGCTTCTGCTGGTGGAACTCCCTTCGACTGCCAAGGCTGCAAGAGGCGGCGGTGTCCTGGTACATTTGTATTATGTAATCAGTCATACCCTGGGCTGTATGTATGCATATATCTAAGGAGGTTACCGACTGAAAAAGGAACCATAAGTACATACATAAACGGGGGAGCAACGGGATAAGGATTCAGCAAACCGATGCAATCCTGGAATCAGACCAGAACTTGTGCTGACTAGCCAGGTGATAAACAGTTTACATCTTCATCAAGCAACTGATGAAATAAATGAACCTGTAGTTTGACCCCTCATGAGTCCAACAAGGGGCGGCGGGTCACTGGGATGGCACTGGCAGTGCCAAGCTGGAAAGCTTGACTCGCCAATGGCCATACAGCAGGCGGGGAAAGGATGGCTGAACAGAGCAGTGCTGGAAAAAAGAGCTACATGCAATTGCTTTAACCACTCTGTTTTTCCAGAAGCCTTACATTTCACTAAGGTGAAAGGCATCAAATCTTCCTAAAAAGATCTGCTGATAGACCTGCCTATTATTAATTTATACTTTCTAACAGTATTCATTCCTTAATAGATTAAACAGTTGTTCTTAAGTAGTGACTCTTTGAATTGAACATCAAGACTGATAGACATCCTTGGATAGAGATCCAGTTTTGGTAGAGAACACCAGTAATAAAAATTCAACCATTCAAATTCAAAAAAAGCAAGATCAAAATATATTATTCTAATAGGATTAATTACCAAGGTGAAAGTTTGTGTGGTCAGTGCAAGATATCTTTCTTTCCTGCAAACCCATTCACATTATGAAAATCAAGGGGGGGGGAATTGAATAGATGATAGTTATTTTTATCTATTCATATGCTCCTGTATGGCTCCTGTGTTTAAGACACTTCCACATAATCCCTGGAGATTTGATTTACCAGAAGAACTGAAATTGATTTTCTCAGCCACCTTCTTTCATTCCTTTCAATTTTCCAAGAAGAAGTTTTTTCAGCCAAGAGAACCTGAAAATTGAATTGTCAAAGTACACATGGTGTTTATCCTTCTCAAATAATTGAAAAGAATTGACAATCAAACACTATTATAAGTTGAAATATGAGTACTTCTTATAAAACAATGGAGCGGCTTGTTTAATTATAATAGACTCCCAAAAAAATTGGAGAGTTAACTCCCAAACCACAGGCATAGCAACCTTGCCTTCCTAACCCTTGAGATCTAACCAAATCAAGACATCATAATTGGGCTTCAGACAACTGTTCTAATTCTCAAGTTATTGTTGACTGTAGGTACACTTCAGTGCTTGATTTGGGAAACAATGGGAAGTTATTTTGGCAATAAGGCTAACATAACAATATCATAATGGAATAAATGCCATTATTGCTATGATAACTGCAAAAACCTTACCATTACATTTTTTTTACTTTGTTTTATAATTTCACTTCTGTTGCCCTATCTACCACATGAATGTGTGGATAAAAAATGGATAACAGGGGGTTTTGGACCCTTTTTGATAGGTTTTACCTTGGAAAACAACCAATCCATGTTACTTTGGTCTATAAAAAGGGGTAAATTTCTCCTCATTACATTACTTTTACAACAAAAAAAAGTTTACCAGATAACAATAATGCATTATCTGGTAACACTGGGAAGTTATGTTACAAAAATCTGTCCAGATATTGTAACATATGTAACTTCCCATTGTTGATGTGGGGGGTCATTTTTTCATATTGATTTTTGGAAACCTTCTATGAATCATTTCACCAATGCCAATGAATTGTCATGGGTGGGTTGAGTTCCTAAAGCCCAAAGATGGTGCAGTGGAAAATGCTTTCTAGCTGATGAACAGCCTTTTATTACATCAACATGATTCCATTTGAATTGTTGTAGAGATGTCAGCAGGTACCCGTTTGCAGGTACCCAGTACCCGTTTGTGGGTAGCTGTTTTCCAAAGGGTTTCAACATTTGCGGTAGAAACGGGTGCGGGTGTCAACATTTGCTGTAAAAAAAGGCGGGTACCCAGGTACCCGCCTTACACCCACCCTGGGAATGCTTCCCCTGAAGAATTTCGTCAACATTTGCAGTAGAAACGGGTGCGGGTGTCAACATTTGCCATAAAAAAAGGCAGGTACCCGGGTACCCGCCTTACACCCGCCCTGGGAATGCTTCCCCTGAAGAATTTAATTTATAATTGGTGGTCCAACACTCCCTTTTTTGGGTGTGTTGGGCTGCACAAAGGTGTCAGCAACCCATGTAGGACACCAGCTGGTGTCCTACATGTGTTGCTGAACTAATCTGGTGTGTTGAGGCCGGAGGGTTCCCTCCGGCCTTTGAGATGGTGTACAGTCTTGATGACTGGAGGAATTCCTCCAGTCATAAAATTAAAGATGGTGTACAGTCTTCATCAATGGAAATTGAATAAGGCAAATTAGGCCAAGCAAAAGGGTAAAGCTAAAGATAGATCAGAGAGAAGATAAAATTCAAGTTGGTGATAGAATATTTGTTTTTCTTTATTTCTTTATTTTCATTTTATTCTTACTCATATATCTAGTGAATATCAATCTTATATTTACCAAGTCATGCAGAAATTCAAGGGTGAGATTTCTGGGTATATTTGCCTGCAAAAATGTGCCAGGCACCCGCCCTGGCGGCCCTAGCAGGTGCGGGTGCGGGTGTCAAAAATATTGGATTTTTGAGGCAGGTACCCGCACCCGCTACAGGTACCCGGGTATTGAGCAACATCTCTAAATTGTTGTCTATCTTGACATATATGCTCTACAAAACCACAAATTATCTTAACATAAATGCTCTACCAAACCACAAATGTTACCAAGTAATAGTTTTTCCAACATCATGAAAATTTCAATTGGTAGCTCAATACCAAAAAAATAATTAATTTCCTTAAAACAGTCAAATTTATAAACTTAATTCTGGTCATATCTGTTCAAAATAGAGTTGAAAATAAATTTCAGTTCTAATTTAAACCCCCTTGGTGTGTCCTGCACTGCAGGACACTCTACAGGAAGTGTCTGTCTGGTGACACTTGAATGGACCTACTGTACAAAAAACCTTGTGAAAATTCAGATTGAAATGAAAATTATGTATGGAAGGCTCCTACATACTTCAACCATAACCTTAACCACATTTGTATAACTGAATTTGTTTTCCTGATCAAACAGCCCAATCAAATTACCACATCTACAACAAATTGAACTTTGTGTGACTTTTTTTGACAATTTGTATGTGGTTATTTAAGAGCAAGTCCAACCCTGTTAAATGGCATTTCCAGTGCCTGTGCAGGGAACACCTCCCCCCCCCCCCAATATTGAACATTGGTACGACTCTGGGTTACCTATCTGCAAAACTCAAATCATACTCTACACTAACTTGACAGGGATTTTCCAAAATCATTGAGAGTCATTCTCATTCTATTTTGGACTGACTGTAATACCAAAGATAAATTCATTTCCTCAGCACAGTTGCTATTATAAGATGACTACTGCTTACATTTGTCAGAAAGAGAGTTGAAAATCAATTCAAATTCAAATTCAAAATAGAGATGGCACGCTGCACTCAAGTACTTGCCATGGGTGCAGCTACACACCAGAAAATTTGCCCAAGATGGATACCCAAACCTGTCAGGGTAGATAACCAACCAGGTGTAGAAGGCAGGTACCTGTCATTTTTTGTGTCAAAACAACCTCACAGCTGTTGAGAGGGTACATTCTCAATGACCAAGAGGGAATCATCCCGGGACCAGGATGGAATTCTCCCAGCTGTACACTCAACAACTGAAAGGGAATCCTCCCTGCCATTGAGAGTTTACAATATCAACAACTGAGAGGGAATCCTCCCAGCCATTGAGAGTTTACAATATCAACAACTGAGAGGGAATCCTCCCATCTGTTGAGAGTGTACACTCTCAACAGCTGGGAGGGAATGGGAATTCTTCTAGCCTTTGAGAGTGTACACTCTCAACAGCCTGGAGAGAATCCTCCCAGCCATTGAGAGTGTACACTCTTGAAAACCAAAATGAATCTTTCTGGGTTGTCAAGAATGAGACTCATAGGCCAAGAGGGATTCCCCTTGGCCATTGATAGTGGAAGTTCATTTCTCTCCCCCCCCCTCCCCTCTGCTGGTAAAATCTGGATGCCCACACCCAACATCAGGTACCTGTGCCAATGGGTACACCTTGGCCAACTTTATTAAAAACTCCTTGAAGGGTGCTGCAGGACACTTTCCCAGAAATACCTGGGTGTTGGCACTTGAAGCTTGAACTCCCCAAAAGAAAAGATTCAAGGGCAAACTTATGGAATGCTCCTACTTGAACCATAATCTCATGACTACATTTGGATGATTGAAAAATTATGCTTGATCAATAAACAGCTCAGTCAGATTCAAGCCACATGTGAAACCAATTTTAGCTTTGATTGACAACTTTTATCTGGTTATTCATGAGTGATTTCCCAGCCTTAGAATCATTGTTCTCAAGACTGCTAAACATATCTGTCAGAAACAGAGTTGAAAATAAGTTGGAATGATTATTCAAAAAACCTCTGGCAGGTCCTGAAGGAAACTTATCAGGAAGTGCCTATCTGCCGGTGCTTTAACTCCTAAAGTTGTGCCAGCAATTGGGTTTTTAGAGGATTGGCTCCTAAAAACCCCCGGGGGTTCCTTTTATTATTATTATTTTTGTTGTAAGTCCGAGTTGGACCTTTTGGAGTTCCAACTCCCAGAAAAACAGGGGAAAAGAAAAATTAGGGGGGTTGATGTTGAGAGGAGGATCCCAAATATTTGGGAATCAGAACTCCAATATTTGGGAGTCAATTGACTGAGACCCTTCTTTTTAAACACAGTTGCATTAACCACCAGAGAGAACTACATTAGACCATCTCCACCCCAAAGGGTTGTTTGAGTTGTTAAATTTACAAACTCTTTGACTGCGGTGCGCCTATAGTGACCCGGTGAAACTTGATTTTCCACCGCAGGGTGATCAAGTAGGTGTGTTGTGTGTGAAAGGCCACCCATGAATAGGGGAGGAGGATCTGGATTTCACCAGGATTGACCTGTGAAACTGTTGGGTTGGGGAGGTACATGGGTTGGTATAGCAATTGCACATCTAGCAATGCTATACCTCCAGAGGGGGGGGGAAACTACATTTACCTCCTCTTTAGCACCGTGGCAGGGGTTTTTTGAGCTTGGGGGGGTAAATTTGGCTTACCACTGCAGTTTACTTCCCCAGGTGGAGATGGTCTAAGTGGATTCAAAAAAAAGTCCATGCTCAGATTCAGCTCGGTTTTTGAGAATGATCTTATATACTACTTGTTTTATCTACAAGTTGACAGATTGTTTACTTGTCTAGAATAATCACAAAAGAAAAAAAAATGAAAAATGTAAGATCATGGGGTAGGGGGGTCTCTCTCAGAATATAAAACAAAGAGGAAGAAGATAATGGGAAAAAACAAGCGTGAGTGGATTGAAGAAAGACATATATATAAAAGAAATAATGTCGTGTGGAAAGAGTCAAAGAAAAAAAAAAGAGGATAGAGGAATGGAATGGATGGGAATGGAAGGTGCATGTATGTGTATTTCTGGACAGACACTAAAAGAAACTCAAAAAGAAAAAAAAGAAACTCAAAAAGAAAAAAAGAAACTCAAAAAGAAAAAAAGAAACTCAAAAAGAAAAAAAGAAAAAGAAAAGAAAAAGAAAAGAAGAAAGCTCCAACACCATAACAGGCCAGACTACAAAGCATACAAATAGATAATATAAAAGGAGATCTTACAGAAAAAAAAGAAAAAAAAGAAAAAAAAACTGAACTGAAGGATGATTGAAACCATCATAACAGCTCCAACAACGTGGCTTGTCCAACTGGCTACTGGCAACTGATTACTGCTAACGACAACACCAACTACTACTACTACTAAACAGTGCCACATAATGTGTGAGAAAAAAGAGGGGGGGGGGGGTGGGGGATGAAGCGGATGGAAAAAGAAAGAGACAACTGGAGTGAAGCAAAGAGGACTGATCTGATGAATTGAGGATCAGGTGGAGAGATCCTGGTTTGCTCAACAAAGAACCCCAAACCTAGGAGCCAGGAACCATCCTCATTCAATTATACTACAACCAAAACCCAACACCCACCAAAAACAAAGTCAACACAATAACAAAAAACCCTGATTAGTGAGTAAGATGAGGGCTTACTTTCTCTTTCCAGATCCATTGACTGCCCATCATTTCAACCCCTTGATTGGCCGCCATCCGGTAATATTTCGCCGCCAGTTTGAGGTCTTTTTTGGTTCCTTTTCCATTGGCATAACAGAATCCTAATTCTATTATCATAATACAAAAAATAAGTAAGTATCATGATCATGATTATCAAGAAAAAAAAAATAAGTGGGGGGGGGGGAGTTGGGTTTACCTTGTTGGGCATCTGGATCACCTAGTTTGGCAGCTAATTGGAAATAATTAATCGCCTGTAAACAAATCAAATCAAAAAATCAAATCAAATCGTCCAAAAATCAATCGATAAGTGTCGACTGAATCGAGTCGAGAGTGGAAGAAAATGGAAAGGAAAGAGAGGAAGAAGACTGACGAGTTGTTTATCTTTCTTACAGCCCCAGCCGCGCAGGAAGCATTGCCCGAGCTCGTAGATAGCGAGGACCAACTCTGACTTAGCGACCGCGTCTTTGGACTGATCGACGGAAGCGGAAGCGGAAGATTTCGCACTAAGATGTTTATGAGAAGAAGAAGAAGTAGTAGTAGTCGTCGGATTGAGAGCGGATTGATCGAGATCTTCGATGACCGACTCGGCGGCCTTTTGGAGCCACTTGAACGCCCGCGCTTCGTGGACTTGACAGCCCCAACCATGTCGTAAGGACAGTCCCCACATCAACATTCCCGCCCCACACCCCCCTCCCTCTCGTGCCGCCCGTTCAAATAGCCCCGCCGATCGTTCGAGGTCTCCTTGTTCATGCGCCACAATCCCCGCCTGAAGGTAATCTTGCGCCGTCTGTCCTTTGGAGCCCCCCGAGGAGGCCCCGTTCTTGGCTAAGCTCGCCTTGGCCTTCGCAATCGCACTGTGCAAGGGCATTCCAGCTGCGCTCCGGGTTGGCTGGCTCTCTTCAAAGGTGGCCTGTCGAGCCGCGGGCTGGAGCATGGTCTGTTGTTGTTGTTGTTTTTGTTGTCGTTGTCGTTGTTGTTGTTGTTGTTGTCGCTCTTCTACTACACCCGGCGAGGGCAGCTGGGATGAGCCCGGGGTATCGAATAATAAGGGCGAGCGTGAGGCGTAGCGTTCTTTCTGTTCTAGGTCTTCCATCGTCGGATCGTCACAAGACGGTAGTGAATAGATCGACAGTCGATGGGCCGACCGTGGATTCGAATCTCGGAGCACTTCCTGGGGTTGGTGGTAAGACGTTTGACCCATCGTCTGGAAATCTACCTGAGGATGATCGGTCGAGTACTGTTGGAGATCTCGAGTCTTTTGATGATGAGTAGGCTTCCGGTCTGACTGATTGGGAGGAAGGTGATGATGTCCATAGATGTCTCGTTCATACTGAGATTGGGTGAAGGTGATTGCAGGTAGGTTGGGGTCGTGGTGCTCCGAGGAAGGCGACGGGAGGGGGCTGTGTTGGCGATGGGCGGGCTCGGTTGTTAGCTGGGGTGTCTTGTCGGTGTCCGTCGGGTCACCCTCCTTAGCGCTCGATCCGATGTGGAAGAGCTTCTTCCACGACCGTCGTGATCCACTCGAGCTGTTGGTATCGATCGACGAGCGACTCTGGATGGATGCACGAGCGGCATGTCCCAGTCTACGAATGCTCCCAGTCTTCGAGCTTGATACTCCCGCCTCTGCGGCTGATGCATTGATCAGAGCCGTCTTGGTTAGAATATCTCTCGTATCTGCCAGAGCTTCCGCGTTAGAGTAGTATTCAGGATCTTGGTGGGCCTCGGCCGATGGGTGATGATCTCTGGGTGAGACTTCTCTGGAGACAGGTGGAGTGGGTAGTGGGGAAGGAGCGGGGACTGAAGGAGGTCTTAAGGGGCGACTGAAGTTGGTGGATAGTTTCTTGGTGGCCCGATCCGGGGTGGGGTTGAGCTCTTCGGATGGGTTAGGATTATTGCGGGGGGAGCTGGATTGGCCTGGAGGCTTGAGAGAAGAGGCTGGGATAGGCTGATTGAGATAAGCTGTGTTGGGCAGGGGTGGCTTTGGTTTACTGCTGCTGCCCAAGAGGTCTCTCGATTGTCGGGATGCTTCGTATTGCTATGAGTGATATGTAGATGTGTAGAGACACACAGCAGGAGTCAGTAAGGCCAAGAGAGTGGGTTGGTTGAGAAGCAGACACAGCAAACTGACCCAGTATTGGAATGGATCCTCGCTGCTAGTGCTGTGACCGCTGGGATAGCGAGCAGATTCATGAGCATCGTACTCGCTCTCGGAATCGGCAGAGAGTGAGCTGAGCCAGGTCTGGCGGTCCTTGAGCGTTTGATTGGGCTGAGCAGTTCCGAGTACCTCTTGAGAGTTGTCGGTGTGGTGGTGGTGGTGGTGGTTGGCTTGGGTGTGGGGTAGATCTGGAGGGGGTGAGTGTGATGAGTGGTCTGAGGGCAGGATGAGTTCTTGGTCGCCATAGAAACTTGGGATGTGTTCTCTTGGGGTCTGGGTGGTTGCGGTTGAGCTGTTGACCCTTCCGGTGGATGGACGGCGGAGAGGGGTTGGGGGATGATCTGGGATTGCGGATTGGTCGAGGTCTCTGAGTGAGTTTGAGAGTTGGGCTAGTGCTGAGTCGATATCGAAGGGTGAGGCTAGATGGTGTGGGTCATGATAGTCAGAGGGCAGTTCGACTGATTGGTGATGATGATGATCGAATGAGTATCGACTGTTATCCGACTGGAAGCTAGCATCACTGTTTCGATGGTTGAATGGGTTGTGGAGTGGTGCTAGTTGCTGTTGCTGTTGCTGTGCTAGATGGTTGGGGTGGGTTGAGAGTGGGGTGAGTGAGAATGAGTTGGGTGTGTGTTGGCTGGTTGTTGGTGGTGGTGGTGGTGCTGTGTTGATGAAGAGTGAGGAGGGGGACTGTTTGCTGGTGAGTGTTCTGGTTTGTGAGACTAGCTTGTCGAGTGGGGATAGGGTCCTATCGATCACCAACTGCTTCTGCCGAGCTGGTTCAGTCATTGTTTGTTTTTGTGCTGGATTGGATGGATGGTGCAGGAGAGTGGATTAAATTATAGGCTGAAGAGGAAGAAGAAGAAGAAGAAGAAGACTGGGCGAAGTGAGTTGGATGGAAATTTGTAAATCGGATTTGTATCTTTTAAAGGGTGCATGCCAAGTTCAAGACTAGTGCTCAGATCGACCAGGTAAACACAACCGAACAAAAATCATGTACAGCTTGGACCATACAATCAAAACCAATTCATCATCAACCCCGAAAAAGTCAAATTATTGACAATATTACTCACAAAAAACGTAAACAAACAAAAGTATCTCTTCCATATGTCGAACAACAGTCGATACATATAATCATCTTACACAAAAAAAAAAACATCCATCAAGAGCTTGCAGGATTCAAGTGCTCCAAAAGTGCAACATGACTTAAGTACACTTTATATAAAGGGAAAAAAAAGAAAACCATTAAGGTGTGTGCGGGGGGCATGTGTACTGATGAGGTACACTACACTTATTTTTGATCGCCTCTTGTTGTTCTTGCACGAAGTTTATTCCAGAGCAACGGTTGCAGGAGCCTGCTGGACATTTTCTTCTCATCCTCATAGCGTATTGGAGGCACACCATGTTCAGGGCAACGAGAGTCCAGCGGAGTATACGCGAGAACTTGGCATCGTGAACACCGGTATTTGGCCACTTGGCAACTATTACTGCAAGGAGCCTCCTCATCAGGCTCTGGGTATAAGCCTCCACAACTTCTCCACACCAGTTCACCTGTCGGCTTGAGCTCGGTCTGTCCTTCCGGAAGATGTGTCCCTCTCTCTAATGCTGCCACCTCACAGACTCCACATTGGATCCCACGTCGAGTGGCCGACGACGACGACGACGAGCTCAGTGCACAGCTGCACTGCTTCCAATCCCAGATCATCACAAGAGCTAGGAGGCCATAAACCTTAGCAAACCTGATAATCGGCAATGGGTGCATGGTTGGTTGTTTACGATGGGGATGGAACTCTGGTCCTTTGCAGGGTTTTGTCGGAGGATCAAACACACACAAATGGGCTTTTGAAGTGGAGGAATAAATCATCCACTATGCCAGCAACTTGTGGCCTGAAAACTGGCTCCTTTTGAGATATTTATAGGGAAAGGTTTCAGTGAAAGCTAATCAAATTCAATCATGAGAAAGTTTTAATTCCACTCTCCATATTTTTTTATTTTCTTACTGATCTATAATCATTCATCAAGGGAGAAGACTCCCCATTAAAAACCACCAGCCCTCTTCACAAATGTCACTTGAGACCCATGCATGGGTTCACAATTGAACTTTACACTGCAAATGTGATTATATCAGATTCCCACATCTGGCATTACATCAGATGAAACAATCTGATTATACATCAGGCAAAACTGGTATTATATCTATGAGGAGTGATATTGTATCTACCTAAAACCATGTTATATCTATCATAACAGATATTGCATCAGCCCAACCTATTTAATGTCAACATAACTGATTTTATATCAGATTTTTACATCTGATACAAATTTTTAGCCCATGGGCATTAAATCAGATAGAAAACTCTGATATGAATTCAGTTATGTTGACATTGAACAGGGTGTTCCAATGTAATATCTTTCATGATAGACACAATATCATTTTAGGTAGATACAATATCAATTCTGGTAGATAAAATCCCAGTTTTTCCTGATGTAATATCAGATATTTTTGTCTGACATAATGCCAGATGTAGCAATCTGATACAATCATTTTGGCAGTGTTAGAGCCATGTTTAAGGTGTTTCTGATCAAGAATTTATGAATTTTATTGGTTTTTGTGACATAAAGAGAGTTCAGAAACACTCAAACTGAAAGAGTCAGGAAAACAACTCAAAGAAGATGTTGCTCAGAAACACCTTAAAAGTGGCTCTAAAGTTCAACTGTGAACCCCCAAATATATATTAATATATTGTTTTGCAGTTGAATCAATCCCTCAAGGCTCCAAATCAATCCAGCACAGTCAAATCTCAAATCCCCACCTTTAATCCTACTCCATCCCCAACTCCAACAGCCTCTGTTGGCAGATTAGAAACTGGCATGACTATTTCAATGGTTGAATGGTTTGTGAAGTGGGGTTAGGGGGTTATGAGAATATTGTTGTTGTTGCTCCTCATGATCACAACAGTGAAACATTACGATACATACAGAAAATTGGGGATGTATTTCAGGCATGTATTTTATGATGCTTCAGTATCTCAATCAAAAAGATTGATTAATTGACCAATGTTAAGCTCTTAGGAGTACCTTGCAATAGAAGTGGTCTGTGGTCATTTAGCTTCATGCAATTCCACCAGGTACATCTCCAATACAATTTGTTTATTGAATTGTTTCACTGTTGACGTACTGAGCTATAAGGTTGTTGGATTCAGTTGAGAGTGGGAATGAGTTGAATGTTTGTTGCTGTTGTTGTTTGGTTGAGGTAGTTGTTGCTGCTGTGTGGATGATAGGTCAGGGTGACTATTTACTGTTCAGTTTTCTAGGTTGAGAAAATAGCTTGTAAAGTGGTAATAGAGTTCTAACTTCTATCAATTACTAGCTGCTTCTTTGTATTTATTTAATTGCAATTGTTGAAATGGATGATGGATTGGTGTTGGTTCAGGATGGTGGAGAAGAATAAGAGGAAGCCAAAGGGCAATAAGGAGAAGACTGGGAATTGAGTTGGAATTATGAAATTGGTTGAATTTTTTTCACAAGGAGTGCATGCAAACAGTACCAAGCCAATTAAAAAAGGCTCAGATTGACCACATAAACACATCAACAAAAAATCACACATCACTCACAAGAAAAGTCAAATTTACAATACTCATCAAACATAAACAAAGATTCTTTACTCTATCATCATCTCCTTTGTGAGAAAAAAATTCAGATTATTGACAATCATTTTTTCACAAAAAAAATACAAATGAAAGTTGAAACCATCATGAGCATCAAAAGTGCAACATAAAAACAAAACAAAAAACCATTGTGTGGGGGATGTGTAATGATGAGGTACTACACATACTTTTAACCACCTCTTTTCCTTTTCTCGCCGGGTTTTTGCAGAGCCAACTGTTGTTTCCTTTTGCTCTTACGTTCATTCTCATCCTCATAGCATATTGGAGGTGTACTATGTTCACGGCAGTAAGTTCCCAGAGTGACAAATGCTAGGACTTGGCAATTTATACACTTGTATTTGGCCACTTGACATCTAGTACCACAACTGACCTCCATCTCAGGGTGTAGGGTTCCACAACTTCTCCATATTATTTCACCTGTTGGCTTGAGATCAGTTGCAACCAATTCTGAAATCTCTATCCTCATTTCTAATGCTGCAACTTGACACACTCCACATGGGATCCCACTGTTTGATGACAAGCTGAGTCCACAACTGGTGCAATCCCACATCAGAGCTAGTAGGGTAGCTTTAGCAAACCTGATTGGGAATAAGTGCATGGTTGGTTGAAGGTGGGGTTGATTTTATTTTCTTGATTCCAAGGAGAATTGAACTCTGGTACGTGTTGAGTAACAAAGGATGAAACACAATGGGCTCTTGAAGTGGATGAATAATTCCACTATGCCAGCAACATGTGGCTAGAATGCATGGCTCATCTTGAGTTACATCAAGGGGAAAAATTTCAGGGAATTAATGGAAGTCAAGTTGAAAATTTTTACTGTGTTGTGATGGCCCAGCTAACACATACCATGTTAAGTATCAAACTTTCAGGTTAGTAATTATAACAATGAAATACAAATAGTAATTGAAAGTAATAATATGATGAAATGAAGAAGTACCTTAAGGCAGGAGCAACAACACAAGGGAAGCAAAAAAATATAAATAAAGAGAAGAGAAATAACAACTAAATAATAAAGAATCAATGTGAGAAAATCTTATGTAAATGGTAGCAGTTGACATGTGGGAGCTCAATTGAAACTTGTGTTGTAACTCAAATGTTACTCAAGAGCTACTTGATTCAAAACTTGATGCACAGTGACTGTGCATCTTGCACAGCCACTGTTCAGAAAAAAAAAACATTTTGGAAAAAATCTCTGTAATAACCAAGTTATGGTGGAAGTACCCTGCATGTCAACTGCAACCAGTTGCATGAGTTTTTTTCACAGTGTTAATTTTAGTTGAGATTAAATTGGGTTGATGAGACAGGATGTTAAAGAAATAACCTATGATAATAGAATAGGTACTCAAGAGTGCTTAGATTGGTGGAAGGCCAAATAAAAGGGGAAGCACAAGATTTTGTGAAGGAGAACAATGAGTCAAGAAGATGTTCAGGTTGAGTTGTTTCACAATAAAGGAGAAAGTGAAGATTTAAAGATTTCAATATGATAGGAGTTGTGAGATGATCTTTTGATAGATTTATGAGGACAAAAGTGATGAATCTGTTGTTAAGCAAACATGTATGATGTGAGCCTGGGTCTCTATAGTGACAGCAGGACACAAGATATGGGGGGGCACTTTTATATGTATTTCTAGAGATGGTCGCGGATAATCCGTTGCGGATATCCGCTATCCGCTGGCGGATACCCGCCAGTGCCAGCGGATACCCGCCAGCGGGTGCGGATTTGGGTGTGGATGTCCTTTTCCGCCCAAAATCCTGGCGGATATCCGGGTATCCCAAGGGATATCCGCCCATACAGGAGGCCTTGGGAGGGCCACAGGCTGTGAGAAACAAAAGAAAAAATGAAAAAAGGAAAAATAAAAGAAAAAATGGGGCCTTAACAAAAAAACATGGTTTTTGCTGCGCAGACACATTTTTTAATTAATTTTTTACTGCTTGTTTTTTATTATTTTTTGAAATTTTAAATTTATTTCTTATGTTTTAAAGTGCGTAGAATTTAATGGTAAAAAGCATTTTACATAAAAATTGATGGTTCTTTTTGAATAATGCAATTAGACACATTTTTTCAATTAATTTTTGACAGATTAATAATTAATTTTCATTATTTTTTGACATTGTAAATTTTTTCCCTTAAATTATTTTAATTAATTTTGCCAGCTTAATTTCCATCATTTTTTGAAATTTTGAATTTATTTACTACACTTTGAGTAGTGTCAAAGCTTATGGTATCATTTATTTTGACAAGAAATGAAAGCTTCAATCTTAATATATGAGTGTACCCCATTTATTGCATAATTAAATTATACAAATTATGATAATTTGTACCGTATACCAGTTTTATTTGTATGCAAAGTTGATATAACCATCCATTTTCAAAAAATAATGAAATTTAATCCTGTAAAAATTTACATGAGTTAGCTGCAAGAAACAAAAAAAAAATGCAAAGGGAAAAGGAATTAGATTTTTTCCATATTTTTGGGAGGGTCACAGGCTGTGAGCAACAAAAGAAAAAAAAAAATAAAATAAAAAACAAAATAAATAAATAAAAAAAACAAAAACTTAAAACCACTTTGCCAACTGCTCAACAAAAGAAAATTCAAAAGCAAAAAGAAATATAATTTTTTCCATTTTCCATGTTTTTTGGAGGGTCACAGGCTGCAAGCAGCAAAGGAAAAAAAAATGAAAAAAAAATTGAAGGCTTGAAGGCTGCAAGAAATTCAAAATCAGTGTTTATGCAGCTTTCTGCATCTGAAATTTCCCCAAGAAACTTTCATTTTGCAGCCTGGGGGTCATGTTTGGGGCGGATATCCGCGGGTATCCGCGCGGATACCCGCCAGGGCCAGCGGGTATCCGCCAGGGGATGCGGATGTCTGATTTGGCTGAAAACGTGAGGGTATATCCGAATCCGAACGGATATCCGGATGCGCCGGGCCCATCTCTATGTATTTCTCAAGAGAAGAGGGATACAAATAAAAGTAAGAGAAAGGGAGAAGAAGAGTGAAAGAATTAAATGGTATTTTTGTTCTTTATTTATTTTAAGATGATGATTAAAGTTCTGGCAGTCTTACTGTCTCTTTTTGGATGGCTGCTGACAGTCTTACTTTCCTTAGTAGGATGGCTGTTATAAGCGGAGCTAACTCTGATGCCTCCAAATCAACAGAAACTGAAATGGGTTATTGATACTGATGAATCAGTTCAACCACAATTTTTTAGATCAAAGATCAAGGCTCTTTAAAGGGAAACCTATGTAGTTTTCAGTTGTACTACCAAACAGGATGAGTTGAGATAATAGCAGCTATGGCTTGCTTTCTTTGATCAGGGCTTTGGTTTGGAGAAGAAGTGAAAGAGGTTGAGAGAGACAGAGAAAGAAACAAGCAGAAAGATGCTAGCTAAAACTTATGAGAAGTTACTTACTAATGACACCAATGACACTGTGTAGTGGGAAAGGTGGGAAAAGTGGAGTACTTCTGGTTGATAAGTGATGGCTTGATCTGGGTCTGGTTGTTGTGGTTCTGTGTTGGTCTGGAGTCTGAAAATACTCTGGAAGCGGAATCAACAAGCTCAGAGAGGATTTTCAAAGTTGGATGACATAATCATTACATGTACATGTGGTTTGGAGAGATGGAATTCCAATTTGGTTGGTATTTCACAAGGTACGGTGAAATGTTACAAAGTCAATGAAGGAGAAGAGTAGTGTAAAACTGGTCAGTGGTGACCATGGTTGAAATTGAATGAGGAATTCATTTCTGAAGTCAGAATTTAATAAAATCTTAAGCTGAATAAGTTACAGTTGGAACATGGATGGAAAGGGGGGACTTAGGCAGTCTTTTGGCCAGCTTGGCTGGCTCTAAGGCTGACATATGAGTTTTGGGCTAATGAGATAAGGAAGTAAATTGTTGGATTCATGAGGGAGGAAAGAGCAAGTGAGTTTGGTCAAAAGAGGAGTTAATTTATGTCAGGAATTCAAGATGATTTCATTGAGAAGTTGACTGATATTATGTAATCTTCTTCTTTAGGAAAATCATGCTAGAGTTATAGAGGGACTGATCTCAGATCTCAACACACCTCAATCCTTCCCATTTGAATTGGTAGGATCCAATTGAAGCCCAGAAAGATGGCATATTGGATCAACATATAGCTGTTTGAAAACCAAGAATCCAAATAATGGAAAATGTGGTAGATGATCAACCATAAGTGATATCATTTTTCCAAACAAGGAATGCAGCAATTGCATTAATTCAACTCTTCCAATTTATTTCATCTTCTCACTCATATTCTATGAGAATACATTGAGGGACATTTCCTGTAAAAAATCTCCAGCCTTCCAAGGATGTAACAGATCCAATCCCCGGATCGGTATTTATCAAGGATCAGATCAAAAATGGACCTGATACCGGGTATTGGTATCGGATCGCTCCACCCAATCCAATCCCAATGTATTGGACAACTGGGATTGGGTGGAGCGATCCGATACCGATACCTGGTATTGGGTCTATTTTTGATCTGATCCGGGGATCGGATTGCTTACAGTTTGGATGATACCCAAGTGTAAGGCATACAGCCCGCAGCATTTGGGTGCCGGATCAGGATTGCAATGCAATCCCGATCCTGATCCAATACCATGGGATCGGATCACCCTTAGCAATCCAATCCCTTATTTTTCGATACCTGGTATCGAAAAATTGATCCGATCCGATAAATTGGCCGATACCGTATTGGATTGGATCTGTTTCACCGTTGAGCCTTCCTTACAGATTTCATTTGAGAGCCATGAGAAGTTGAGTTTTTTGGAGGCCAAAAAAGCTCAAGGCCTACAAATTAATTCCCCACCGTCAAATCTCAAGCCCAAATTTAATCCTACACCTTTCTCAACTCCAAAAACCTCCTCTCCCATCCCAGATCCCTGTTTTTGAGTCAATCATTTTCTTGTCTCCCATCTATCATATTTCTTGCACAACCTCCTTTCATCTTAATTATTTTTTTCTCCTATCTTACTCTCTTTTTAATTTCTTCATCAGCTTCTCTATCTCTGGGTTCTCTTTAATCATAGATTCTTAAGACTCAAACTCACCAAATCACCTCAAATTAATAATCATCAGAAACTTGTGACAGCAAATCCTGAAACCTCCTGGAGGATGGAGCCTCAACTTTCACCCACAGAGCAACTTTTCACAGTATGTGCCATGTACCAAGTAGCTGAAATTAAGCTTATAAAAACCTTAGAATGAATGCTGAAAGATGTGATATCAAAGATTTTTGTGAATAATTTGTTTATTTATCTTTGATCATGGATATCCTTCAAATATTAGTATTAGCATTGGTAACCCATATTAATCATAAGCAAATAAATTTTAAAGATATTCCTGATGTATATTGAGCTGTTTCATGAAGAAACTTGATTGTGAAATGCTTGTGAAATCACTGGGCCTATCAATATATACTTCCTCATATAGAAAAATCTATTCCCCTGTATGTTGCCATCAGGACCCTTGGCTGGCTGATTCAAAGCATATAAAATGGAGACACAGATCTGATGGGAACAAGCCCCTATTCAAATGCAGGGTTACAATTATTTAAGGCAGACTTATCCTTACCGTCAAAAGTGAAACCAATACAATACATGCATTTGTATTTATTGGTATTTGTATCTGTTTTTCTCTAAATGAATTGTATATATATTGTATTGAAGAACAGATACCATACAAATGTATCAAAATTCTTGTATCTTGCCAGAGATACATACTACAAAAAGGGTTGCATTGTATTCTGTGAATGTGCATTAACATCTATCACATGCAATGCCACCTCAAATTTTCAAAATGCAAGGTGACATTGCATGTGACGTGCAATGTTACCACACATTCACAGAATGTGATGTAACACTTTTTGTAGGGTTTCTCATGGTGAATTTACTATATTTGATACCCCCTACTGTATCTTTTTGTATCTGTAAAATTTTTTGTTGCAAACAGTCCAAATTGGCCAAAAATTGTGAAGTGTTTTTTTGATACAATTCAATTGTATTGTATCTGATTTGAGATACAATAGGCCAGTTCACGTCTGGAGTTGAAGGCCACTTTTAACGCACTTGAAGATAAAATTTTATGAATTTTGTAAAATTTCATGAAACATCAAGTTCAGAGGAATTTGAGATTTCTGATAAATTTGTAAAATTTTAATGATAAATGTCACTAAATTTGCCTCAAAGTTCAGACGTGAACCGTCCTAATAGGTGATACAAATTTTCTGATATATCAGAAAAAAGATACAATACAAAAGTATCTGCAGATACTGCATCATATTGTATCTGTTTCACCGTTGTTACCATGAAATCAAGACCCCTGATTTGTACACAACAACTTCAAATCCAATGTGCAACTGTACAATTTCTGTGCCGCTTTGTTATGCAACTGAATTAAGCTAAATTTGGTTAGTCAGAGATAGAAAAACATCACCAAAGAGAGAAATCTTTGTCTGTTCATCCCCATCAAACACAACAAACCTCATTCTAGAATATTCAAACCTGCAGTTCATCAAGCCCCATTTTTGATACCAAAATTTATTGATTGCTTACAGCCAGAATCAGCAAAATCCATCATGAAACTGAAAATTACATCACAAGATGTAAAAAAAAATGATTCCTGGGGGCATGTGTTATGAGGGACAACATGTGAATTTAAGATCCTCTTTTTTCATGTTTTTTTTGAGGATACATCTTTAGCAGAGATTAATGATCGACTATTACTGCCTTATCTTTATCATCATAGAATGGAGGAGGAGGAGGATGTTGAGTGCAGGAAGTATGGATGGTGACCAATGCAGTAACCCGACATCGTTGACAATGGTATGTCATTACTTCACATAGCTTTTGGCAGCCATTTGGTTCAGCCCGTAAGCCCCCACAAGCTCTCAACATGGTTTGATGAGTCGGCTTGAGTTCGGTTTGTTCTCTTGGCAATTCCATTCCATGGGCATATGCTGCCAGTTGACACACTCCACATTGGATCCCTCCGTCAACTGACAATCTCAGTCCAGCATTGCATTGGACACAAACCCAGACCAGAACTATGAGGGTTACTGCAGCAAACTTGAGTCGAAATCCACACATGGTTGGTTGCACTTGGACTCTGAGTTGAGGGTTGTGTTTCTTTCTTGATTCTGATGGGAATTGAACTCTGGTATGTGTTGGATACTCAAGGGTTGAAACACAATGGGCTCTTGAAGCGGAGGAAGAATTCCACTATGCCAGCAATTCCTGGACAGAAAACTGGCTGATTATCCTCATATTTAAACAGGAAAGTAGCTTTCAAGCCAAGAGGAATTCAGATTTTTGATGGCCAATGCTGTTTATGAATTTCTCCAGCCAACTATAATGAGCTGCTGGAGTTGAAGCCTGGACTTCTACATATCATGTACATAGCCTCTCACAGACATGTCTTGACTCCCCAACACCATATTTGAGAGCTTCACCTTGTGTATTCCTAATCTTGCAATCAACCATCAAGAACCAGAACCCTGAAGATCCCCACCTACTCTCCCCAGGACACCCATAACACCATCACATCACATCAGATGGTATGACCTTGTCCATCTTATTGAGAGAATCATTCATCCCAGAAAAGAATATCCAGATATAGGATTAGATCTATATAGCACTTTGACAAGGAGGAAAACAAATATATAAACATTCAAACAGATCATACAAACTTCCATTTTCTTTATATATTTTTCTCTGTTAATTTGTATTAGTGGACTTCAAGGTTGCATGCAATTCTGAATATCCGAGTGCTTACCCCAAACCAGCAGCCAGACAGCCTACTGTTCAGCTTAAAATACTGTACCGAAGAACACCTGTTATCAGACAAGCAAAATCGATCATCAGAGCTGTCCACAAACCGGTTTTGTTTGCCACCCAAACGTGCATCCAAAAGCTCTGCAATCTTGACTCCCATCATCACTGCTTTATAAGAACGATCCAAATCAAATTCATATGTCACTGATTGTGATGGATGGCATTCGGACACCCAAACCGATCTACCACATGCCATCCCACTTTGGCCCTGCAAGGTCCATCCATCCAATACGCTTTGGACTTTGCAGAACCAGAATTGATGGGCCACACCATTATGATTCAATGGATGGGTGGCTTAGAACCCCCTGGACATAACTAATAGTAGGCAGCAAGGATCGAGCCCATGGCCTTCCTCCAGTGTACCATGACTGCCAGCCACCTTCTCTACACTGACACATCTTATCACCACAGCCCTCAAACAGCTCACGACAACATCAAGATTTATTCACGGTGATGTTTTTTTTTTGTTTGTTTCTGACTGCGCCAGGAGCCATGCATAAGTTTCCACCAAAACATCACCATCACAAAATCTGGTTTTTGTCACCTGTTTGTGGGCTGTGTGCACTGCACCATATATAAAGCTCACTGCTACATAACCAAAGTCACACATATCCCCCCATTTGGATTTCCGGATGTTTTTTTTTGTTTTTGACCATCAACCACTTCAGCCAAGTATTCTGAGCGATTTTACCGTCTTGCAGTTTTAGACTGCTGGGGACGGATGTGAAAGCGAGGGATTGGACACTCTTATAGTGAGCGGAGTCTTCTGAATTTGATGGGTTTTTGTAGTCGGGAGTGTCCAATCGATGGCGGGCTCTTTGTAACTATCCGATGGATGGGCTGGCCGGAGAGCTTGGACACTTTCTGGTTCGGCCAGCTACATATGTAGTGTGGTCTGGAACATCCTTGTCGGAGGCTTTCTAAGCATCTTGAGCCTGTCAATCGGGACAGAATCGATCCCATTGCCAGGGCGTTTTTTTCGATTTTTATTGGAACCACCGCCCGATGGTCTAGTGATGAGTAAAATTCTGCTTGGATTGAATATTATCATGACCAAACAAATAAATAAAAGAGCCACACACAGACACACACAAAAAAAAAGGAACAAAAAGAGTAGAGAGGATGAGGAAATGCAAAAGAAGTAGTACATAATATATAGTCCATCTTGATTGATGAGTTGTCTGAACAAACATAAATAAAAGGGGGAAGTAGCGGGTGATAAAACGGACCACAAAGCGCAGATATTACATGAGTAGACTCGTTTGAGACATCAGGATCATACACAGACATATAAATAAAATATAAAATAATAATAATGCTGATAATCTACATGTTGGTGTTGCTGTTAGTCATCTTAACATTAATAATGCTGTTTTTTTGGGGTGGATTTGAGTGATAGGTTGGAACCATAGATAGAGACGAGTACATACATACACACATATAATAATATAAATTTGATGATAGTTCTAGGTGAGCTTCAAAAAAAAACACAGCTCTTTTTTTTTGTTTTGCAGCAACCCATGTTGATTGATGGCACATGGTGGAGTAATAAGGATGCTAAGATCACGAGCCGTCAGAACAGAACAGAATAAACGAAGCGAGAATATAAAAACAAAGCGTATATGGATCGTTTTTTTTTTTTTAATTTAGTTTTTGGAGTAGGAGATTAAGGAAGCTAAAGATGGATGTGAGAGGTGGCGAGAGAATGGGCCTGGACGAGTGATTTGAGGTGATCCTTCTCGAGGATGAGGTTGTGGATGATAGCATGGAGTCTGGCCTGTTCGGCCTCGAGCCGTCCGGCCTGGTCCTCGAGGAACTGCTGGTAAGTTTTCTTCTTGGCTCTGGAGCGGGAGGCGGCGAGTCGATTGCGTTCCAGGAACTCGTTCCGCCCTTCGCCCTTCTTCTTGACCATCATCTTCTTCCGAGCAGCCGTGCCGTTATTGGTGTGATGATCATTGCTACTGCTCGTCGGTCCATCTTTGGGATCTGATGTGCTCGGCTTCGGCTGCTGGGAAGAAGAGCTCTTCTTCTTCTTCTTCTTTATGTTTGTGTTCTTCTTCTTGTTCTTGGGTTTTGATTTTGATAATGGTTCTTGGCAGGAAGAGGAGGTTGAAGGAGATGGGGAGCAAGAAGAATCTGACGGTGGTGGTGATGATGATGCTGATGATGATGATGAGCGGGCGGAGGGTTCGATTAGGGATAGAGACTGCTCAGTTTTCCTGGTACATTGCCGTTTGTAGCTAGTCCGACGACCAGGGATGACTTGGCTGTTGATCGCTGCAGGAGGCGCATGAGGCGGTGGTGGCGGCGGTGGGGGCGGCGGCAGTAGTGGCTGAGGCGCCTGCTCGGGGGAGATCCAATAAGATTGTTGTTGTTGTTGTTGTTGTACAGCAACTGGGTGGTGATCGACGATCAGGGAGGAAGGGACAGTATGATTGGAGGCTGTACTTGCCGGCGGGTCTGTTAAGGCAGATCCGGTGGGTGAGGTGGTGGTACTACCGGAGGAGGATGAAGGACTGCAGCTCGAATCACCTCCGGTGAAGTCGATCCAACAGTCGATGGAGTTACTTAGATTATTATTATTATTGTTATTGTTAGGATTGAGCAGAAGAGGATCAAGGTTGTTGATGGTCAGGCCGTTGTCGAATTGGAGGGGTGCTAAATGGATGTCGCTTGGACGATCGACTGCTGGTGGTAGCTGGGGACTGGGCGGAATCTGGAAACCAAAGTGGCTGGAGGGGTGATGGAGGTAGTGTTCTGAGCAGGATGATGGGTTGATGAGTTGATCGTTGTTGTTGGTTTTGTTGTTGAATGGATTCGGGTTGAAGGAGAGACTGTTGATGATGTGGTGCTCAAAGAGGTCAGGAAGCAGTAGGGCTTCGTATGGAGTGTGTAGTTAGTACCTTTCTTCCTTCCTTCCTTCCTTGTTTGTTTGTTACTAACCTGTTTCGAATGAAGTGGATGGGTGAGTTGATGTTTGTATGAATGGGTTGTCGTTGTTCATGATGGAGTTCTGGGTGGTTGTTGCTGTTGTTGGCTGGTTTGGCTGAGTGGATGATGGATGGTGGGTTTTTATTATAGGGATGACTCTTTTTTTTTTTTTTTTTTGATCGGTTCTTTCCTGCAAGCGTGATCTTCAAATTAACTCATCTTCCGAGGCCATAAGCTGCTTGCAATCATATTCAAGAACACTTCAAAACCCTTCTCTTATAACTCTCAAATCCAAGCTTTCGGCTCAGATCTGCAATATGGAGATCCTAGAAAACATCATAGAACGCTTATGAAAAAACTAAAAAACATATTCCTATTCTAATAACCAAGTAAAAGTTAACGATCACCAATTGACTTACATCACAAAAAGCGCCTCTTATTGCCACTTATAAGAAAAATCAGAGTCAACAAAAATGTATGATCAACATGTCGAAGGAAACGGCCAAGGTTGCCGTCTGTTTCTTTGTTTTAAATTTCGAGGGTAGATGATCAGATGGCGCACTGAAAAAAGAAGAATTCCGAATACGGGAGTCGAACCCGTCTCTACCGCGCGCTTCATGAGAGGCGGTCATACTAGCCGATATACGAATTCGGATACGGATCGGGTACTTCGACGAAAGAACCGGACGCCCCTAGCGAGAGTCAGTTTCGATCCGACGACCTCTGGGTGTCTATGTTGCAATGCAATATGAGCCCAGCGCGCTACCAGCTGCGCCATCTCGCTTGGCGTGAGAGACTGGATGTTGGTCCCAGTCGGACCAAGATCTGACACTTATGGGTTTTCATGCACAGTTGCTGTACTGCTGCTTACTGGCGCACAGCCATGCACGAGAGGATTTTTGAATCACATATATAACAAGCAGCAACACCCAAAAGTCTGTGGTGTCAATGTTGCTCAGGGAGGATCATGTGACCAGTTCGATGTTGCCAAAGACAGACAAGCTAGGATAAACAAACCATTTGAAATCAATTTGGGGAAAACAAATCTCCAGATGAATAAAATGCAGATTCCAAGTTGGATATATCAATTACAAGCCAGCAAAACATGGACTCAACAAACATTCTCAATCTCTGGATTTGCAATCCTTAGAGTGTCCTGATCATTGGTACAACAAGGGTCACTTAAACTTATAAGCTGTTTGAGACCAACCTGAGTTGGTCTTTCACACTAAGAGTTGTCATGTGGTTGATTGACAATGTGGTGGAGCCATGTTAACTATCCACTAATTTATCAGGAAACCCAGTGAATCAAATGTTTAACTTGACTTATATAGTAATCAAGTTTGCCTGGTTATCCACAATCCTTTAGTATATTTAACTAGCTTAAAACTAGCACGATCTAACATTGTTAGTTAGCTATATCATTCAATCTTGGTAAAATAGTGGGACATAGATCCCATATCAAGCCGGTGATTTGAAGATGGAATATATGTAGATCAACATGTCTGGTCAAATACAGTCAATCATGAACTTCAACTCCAAGGGACCAATTTGGAAGTGGGCTCTACAGGGACACATTCAAGGCATTTTGAGTATTGAAAGGGGCCATAATGATTATTCTAGAATATTACTAGATGTTTCTAATTTGTTTAAACAAAAGTGGCAAGATACATTTATGAAGTGTTACAAAGCTGCACTATCTGGCAAGAAAAACCTTCTCCAATATCTCTCAGACTTCAGTTTTTGATTGTCTGAAATTAATTCCTAACTCTTGCACCCAATGCAACTGGCCTATGAAGTGGTTTCTATGTGCAACTGCCCTTTTTGGCCGGTGTGGAACTCCTATCGTGCCAGGCGGTAGGCAGTTGGTTGAAGGGATGGTGCTTTGAGGGCTGCCTTCAAGTGGGGTCTGGATGAGTTGAGCTGTGATCTGAACAAAACATGTTGGGGTTGGTTGGTTTTCTGAGAGGGAACAACAGAAGTTGATTTCTGTGGTGTTTGTTGAGCTTGAGGATTGGTGTGTGTGAGGATCAGATGAATCAATAATAAAAAGATCAATAAGAATTGATGGGTCTACCTTGGATCAGATCAGAGTGCCATGCTTCCCCATCATCTCAGTTCAAACTGAACTTTGACTCTGGGGAGTGACATGTCACAGACATGTCATCACATCCCTAACTACAACACAACTCAACCAAACAACAAAAACAAGACCACACAACACAACACAACACAACACAACACAACACAACACAACACAACACAACACAACACAACACAACACAACACAACACAACACAACACAACACAACACAACACAACACAACACAACACAACACAACACAACACAACACAGAACAAAACAAAAACAAAAAAAAACAAAAAAAAACAATCAAGAGTGGAATAAACCAACATACTAAGATGTCTTAGGACCAAGAAAATTAAACAAGACTGTCTGCTGAGTAGGTGATTTGAAAAAGATAATAAAGAATGATAAAATGATAAAATAAAAATAAAAATAAAAATTAGATGAATGAAAAATAATATGAAGATAAAAGAATCAGAGGAAATTAAATAATAAAAGGAAACAAAAACATAGTAAAATAATACAATGAAGGAAACTGTTGGACTGAGAGGGGATTTGAGGTGATATTGTTGAAATCTTGAGGCTTGAGGAAATGATAAGTTGAAATTTGAAATTTGAAATTTGACCTTGAGGGGGCCTGTACCGTTTAGAACACCACACCGGTTGGTGTTAGCTCAGCAACCAGTTTTTTTTCTGAAAATGCTTTTTCATTAGCAGACTATAAGCCCCTCACTACACAAAGTGTTACATTGCATCTTTCAAATGTGTTGTAACATCACATGTCACATGCAGCATCACCTCGCATTTGCAAAATGTGATCAAATTTGTAGTGCCAAAAATTTGATCACATTTTCCAAATGCGCGGTGACATCACATGTGACATGCAATGTTACCACACATTTTCAGAATGTGACGAAACCCTCTTTGTAGTGCCTCCGTGCTAACACTATGGTGTCAGGTGTCCTTTTTTGGTCAAAAAACTAGACAGTACCTGGGTAGCTGCCCCCCCCCCTCCTCAGTGACTTCTGTCAGACACTGAGACACTAGCCCAGGTGTCTACAAAAGAATGTAACCCCCTTGGGTTACATAATAAATATGATCCTATGTAATCTTTGAGTTAATAAGTATTGATTAATATTAGGGGGTTGGAAAAACAACTCCCAAAAATTAGCCGACAACTCCCATTTTGGTCGAGGGGTCGTCGGGCGGGAGTTGTTCCTCCAAATCGATGGCCAACTTTGGGAGTCGGCCAACAAATTGTTTTTTAATTTTTTTTTTAATTTTCAGGGAGTCGGCGCCCCAAAACACCCCTCATGCTTGAGGGGGTTTGGGAGTCGTCGCTCCCATGACCGGAAGGATTTCCTTCCGGTTGACAAGAAACAAAAATCTTGTTATACCTCATTGATTGGAAGGGATTCCTTCCGTCGATGAGGTGTAACAACCTCATCGGCCAGAAGGGATTCCTTCCTGTCAATTAGGTATAACAACCTCATCGACCGGAAGGAATCCCTTCCGGTCGATGAGATTGTCATACCTCATCAATCGGAACGGATTCCTTCCGTCAATGAGAATGTTAAACCTCATCGATCAGAAGGGATTCCTTCTGTCGATGAGGATGTTATACCTCATGGACCAGAAGGAATCCCTTCTGCAGATGAGGTTGTTATACCTCATTGACGGGAAGGAATCCCTTCTGGTCGATGAGATTTTTGTTTCTCGTCAACCGGAAGGATTTCCTTCCAGTCATGGGAGCAACGACTCCCAAACCCCCTCAAGCATGAGGGGTGGTTTGGGGCGCCGACTCCCTGAAAATTAAAAAAAAAATTAAAAAACAATTTGATGGCCAACTCCCAAAGTTGGCCATTGATTTGGAGGAACGACTCCCGCCCCTCGACCAAAATGGGAGTCGTCAGCTAATTTTTGGGAGTCGTTTTTCCGACCCCCTAATATTATTTATTATTATATGTATTTTTAATGTTAATAATTATTCTGTAAATTAATAAAGATTCACCTCTTTATCAATTTACCTCTTTCATGAAAATTACACTCAATTGAAAAGGATAATTATCTCTTGGGTGTATCCAAGACATGATTATCCTGTTTATCTCTCTGGTGTGAATATATATTCTGTTTATCTCTCTTATGTGTATTTTCTGAAATAAAAGATAGTCAGCACATGTACATTTATCATGCTCTGAATATCCTGACACTTTCCCCCAAGGAATAGTGTACCCACCGGTCCCAGCAGCAGTTTGGCCCCTGCTCTGTAATATTTAAGGGGATGACTCTTTCTTAGAGATGGTCGGTCCGCATCCGGATATCCGATGGCAATTTCAGGGAAATTGCACATCCGCATCCGCACGCGCACCCGCTAGCGGGTATCCGAGCGGGTATCCTTGGATACCCGCCCTCTAAAGGGCCAGCGACTTACTAGATATTACATCATAATAGATAGTGAGTGGTGTTTTTAACATATTCTATTAATATATTAATTACACTTTCCTCTGTCTTCATTACTAGCCTTATAAGTTACATATTTAACTTATAAGACTAGTACAACCTCATTTCTCTTATAATAATTAAGCTCTGGAACTGTGAAGCTCATTCCACAGCTGTCCATTCTTTTTATAAGGAGCTAGTCCCTCCACGGTACAAGTGTTGATTTGGACTTACCTTCCACTGGCTCTCTTGGCTATAGTGTGACCCTATATCCCATCAACTCCTGGTCACATAAGAGACCGGAGATGACAACTTCATTGAGATCAAGCAGGTGGCTGGGATTGCTTAGCCAGGTTGCTGGGTAGGACCCCTCCATGTTAACCTGGTTGAGACCCATCAAGTGGACATTAAGGACCCTCAGCGGCAACCTGATGTATACCAAGCAGGTTGCCGGTAAGGATCTCTGGCAATTGGGTGCCAAGGTCAGATTACCTTTGTCACCTGTCTGAAGTAGCAGGGCACAGTGCTGGGTGCCTGATTTGGGGAACAGATTGAGACATTGAAATAAACCCCTGAGTTGAAACTTGTGGCACTCATTATGGGTGGAGACAATGTTAGTGCAAGGTGTTTGTGCTGTGAAAGAATTGATGCTTCAGAAATGGTGTGTTGGGTTTGTCAATAAATCAATTTGAAACTTCAAGTACAGCGGCATAGCCTCCTTGATCTCAACTTTGAACCAGAAATTCTAAATTTTATTTTAAATTGAATCAGCTCACCACGTGATGATGTCTACTGCAGTTTAGCTGAACCTAGATAAGACAATTTGTTAGATACATACAATTTTTAACAGTTTCAAAGAATTCAAATGTTAGAAATTGAGGTTTGGCTGCAAAATTCTTCCATCCCAAATGGAGGAAACCCATGTACACATCTTCCACTTGGAATGGAAAATTGCTGAGCTGAGCTTGCCCAACTTTTTCAGCTCATCCAGCTCAGTCAGCTCGGAAGGGATTCCTTCCGGTGTGGTGAGACCAATCAAGGTCATATATAGTACAAAATAGCTATTAACAGTAGTTTTCATGTTATTACAACCAGATATGCATATGCTACATAACCCTTTAGCTTGTATCCAGTTCAGAAGGTTACAAGATAGTATTTTTTACACATAGTTTGGTTACATGATATATAGTACTACATAGCTACAACATACTACATATCACACATCTCAAGATACAAATTAGTCTTCCCTCAGTACCTTC